TGTAAATACCTACATTAAGGTTTCCTGTGTTATCTCAGTTTAACTTCTTTATGTTTATTAAATTATCATTTGTGATTTTCCTAAATTTATTCAGTTGTGAGCAAAGCATGCAATGATGCATCCAATTATTATTAAGTACAGAATCAATGGTTATTTGTAGTACCTTTGGTTTACTTGTTTATTAACACTGAAATTGTGGGTAGAATATCAGTCGTGGGATGACTTTCTTTACTGCACATGTTACTATGCTATTTCCAGGGCTGATTTATACATTAAATAGATGATTCTTATAACTATGTTACATTGTTCAGGATTATTTTTAGGGAAGGGAGGCAGAGAAACATTATGAAGCAATTGTAATCCGAAAAAGGAAAAAAATGCTAATAAAGCATCATAATTTTTCATAAGGTCTATAAGTAACCTTGCAGTTAGTTCAACCCACCAGTAAGTCATCATTTTGAATGTAACATATATTGGTAACATAAATTAACATCTCAGAATCTAAATATCTAGCTCTGAATTATTAAAAAATCAATGGTGTTTTTGAACAGTCAGATAATAAATCCAAAATTGGTTTAATTAAACACATAGGGAAATGAAGGAAGCATTTTCAAACTTGGTATTTTATCATAGCACATAATATATATTTGTATACACTTTACTATAGTGAAGTGAAAGGTAGGACTTTATGTTGACATTTTATCCAGTAACAATTTTAATGGAGTTCCTATAGGGAAAAAAAAACAAACAAACAAACAAAAAAAACCAACCACCACACCCCACACCTTGATTTTTTTCCATTAATCCTGAGAGTTGTGTAACATTTTTTTTATGACCAAGCAAAAGAATGCAAGTATTTTTAGTAAGCCTAAGTTCTGGACAAAGCCTCCTGGGCATGTTACGTCATTTAAGAACTCACTCATGAATAGAAAACATGAGGAAGTATCTATGAAAAGATAAAAAATTAACTCTGATATAGCAAATATACTACTATTCTAATTAAGTTTGGCAGATGAGTACTGACTTTTTATTCTGAAGGTGGGCAGCAGCCTTGTTTATATGGTGAACTGGGCATGCAAAGTCTATTGTTGAATGAATGTTTTGCCAAAATTTCTTTCAGACTATGGAATATTTTAAAACTTAATCATATTATTAGGAAAAAAAGATTAATGTATTTTATAATGAAGACATATATGCATATATAATAAAGATGTATATATAAAATAGCCCCTTCTTCATAAGGCTTTTTCTTAAATAGACACTGAGTGGGAGGGAACCTCATGACATCCTTCAGAAGTAAACTTACCACAGGTCACATATCAGGCAAGTCCTGTGGCTGAGAACAGAAACAAGGCTTAGCGCAGCGCTGTACTCTGTAGTACCATGGGCAAATTCCTGACACTGCTGTCAGGTTTGGCAGCAGCAGTGATTTATGCTAGCACCAATAATGACAGCCTAAACCACATTTAAAACAAATTTATCATTAGACATGAAAAAGCTTAACTACCACACATTTCAAACTCCTAGATAGAGAATCTGAGAAGTTAATTTATTAGCATTTGCAAGGCCTGTATCTTGGTACAACAGCAGAAGCCAACAATAATTCTAGTTAGTTCCTTATCTTTTTGAGATAGTTGCCTAAATATAGGGGTACAACTATAGTTGGACTGAAGATCTAGTTTTATTTTTGGATTCTGACCACACTGAGGTACATGAGAACATGAGAAAAAGGCATCAAATGAGTTAGGGATGTGAATTCAGCCTATTGGTAAGGCTAAGGCTGGATCAGAAATAGATTTAGTGTCTGAGACAAGACTGAAGATCTAGGTTAATTTCTGGATCTTTCCGTGCCTAAAGAGATAATACAGGTGCATATAAGTGGCAGGGACAATGGCATCTGCTTCCTTTGAAGGCAGATGTGAACGGCTCATTTAAGAAAAGGTGTAAGATCAGAACCTGGAGGGATGAAGGAGCATAGTTTTATTTCAGCACTTGCAAAGCCAAAGGGCTGTGAAAGACCTGGTGCTAGAGGAGTAAATTAGTTCTGGTTAGTTTTCTAGATGTTACAGGGTTCTGGGTATAGTTATCAATAGGGATAAAGTTTGGTCCTGAGAATATAAACAGAATTCTCCAACATCGGAAGGGTTTACTAGCAATGCTACCTATAAGTAGAATGGATTAAAATATACCTGAAGAAAGCTTTGATTTAACTTTGAGAATATGAAGAAGTGATGAACATGATTTCTTTTCAGGTTCCTGCAGAACTCTAGAATACACAGTACCAGAGGCTTGAAGCGGGTCACATACATGGCATGGTATAGTCCACAAATGTAAAGCGCAAATAAAATTTTTATTTTGGGTGGCAGTTTTACATTGCAAAGCAGGAAGTGAGTTTTTGAGTTCACCATGTGTGATTTGCAGGTCTAAAATGGTGCAGGGTCAAATGGGTCAGAATGAGATGGACCTTGCCAGCAAGTCTATTGTTAAAAGTTTGGTCTATATTTCATTTCAGTTTGAAGATTAAGATTAAGAAGCACTGAAGATGTGGGCTACATAAGACTCACAGAGTCAGAGACAGAAAGCGTTAAAAGGCTAAGACTATTTTTAGAAGCTGCGAAAAAGGCAGAAAACAAGATCTGGAGACTGCAGAAACAAATCTCTTATAGCTGATCTCCTGTCCTTAAAAAAAACTTAACTGTAATAAATAGCCTCCTTTTACCAACAATCGATGTCCACATCAATATTAGACATTAGGCTTTCCAAGACCATACCTCATCTTGGCTCAGAAGATCCTCAACTATATTGTAACCAGCTTAGCTAGAGGCCTCACTTTATAGCACTTAATTTTTAAAACAAGCATAAATATAGCTTTAAATAACATATACAACCTAAATGTGCCTTGGATCTATGGAAAACACACCTCTATTGCTAAACTCTTTATCCCAGCTCTGTGAGACTTGTAGTTCCAGTATAAACATAGATTTTGGGTATCTTCTGTACTAGTCCCCAACAGAGACATCAGCCCTTACTCCAATCTTAACCACCGCTTTCCTTTAAACACCAGTCTTTGTTTTACAAAGACTGTGTTTTACACAGGCTGCAACAATTAACTTTCTTCAGTCACTGATGAACTGTTATACTCCCTTACAATCATGACAGCACATGTCCTAGATTTATGTGAAGCATATTTTAACCAGAAATAAAACCATTTACCCAGGCCAGCTGTGGGATCATCTAATTCTGCAGGCATTAGAAAACACAAAACTCTCAAAACTTTTCAGCACCTCTTGTACAGAACGCACATTTAACCCTTCCCTAGCCTCAATTTTAGCCCTTCTCTCAGCTATGCTTTAAGAGCCCATAAACTCCTTAACAGAACTTCTTGGCCCTGTATGCTCTGCTCAGTCTAGAAATAAATTTATTTTTTTTTATCTGATTCTCTCACCTTACACTTATTTCTATTCCTAAACCTCATTAAAACAGTAAATCCTCCAACACAACCATCATACCTAAAGACTAAAAGAAGTAATTTTTTCTAACATTCATTCTCATTCTGATTCTGCAAAATACATCTGAAAAGACTTCAGTCCCTACTGTTTTTAATACTACTCCATACCATAAAAATTAGCCCCAGACTTTACCTTTCCTGTAGAACTGTGATGCTTTCCTTGCAGAACTAACCTTAACTTTTCATTCAGACCAAACTCAGCTATAATTCTGGTTCTACAGACCTCTCAGAAAAGATAAAACCATAATCCTAATTCTGTAGTCTGTTATCATAATCCCTCTTCTTATTTTTAAATTTGTTAATAGTAGTCTGATCCATAGGAAAGAGTCTCTAATGAGTATCATCTAGGAGATACCTAGATGGGTGGGGAACACCTAGCCAATAAAATCCCACCGTGAGAGATGAATGACTCTATAGTAAGAGGAAAGAGGCACCTAATCAGCCTCTCAGTTTGTTTCTCAGTTAGGCTTGCAGTATCATTCCCTGTTAACATTGCTGCAGCCCATGCAGAGACCAACCCAGGGTTAGCCCACTGATACTTCCGCTGAGATAAAGACATCAAAATGTTCCAACAACCACAAAAGATAATTGCATAACCAGATGTATTGCAGTCAATACAGAGTCAGATATCTGTCATATTTTGAAACTAATATGGTTGAGCTATCCTATTCACTAACTCTTCAATGTTGTTAAAACCCATCTTCTACTATTCTTTTACTGCATGCTGCAGTCTTTCTACATTCAGTTGTGCAACAACCTCTATAGAAGTGTCCAAATAAATGCACGTGCTTAATATGAAAACAAACATCTCTGAAAAATTTCCAGGCAGCTGCTTATCTTTCCCTATCTATTATCCTGAGGACAGAAACTCCACATCTGTTACTGTGCCTCAGTCCTGAAATCACAAGCCAGTTGAAACCATCAAGGAATTGCTCAACATAATAGATCCCGGCCCTGTTTTTTACAGTCATCCTTCACAACATGCCACAGAATGAAGATCAACAACTTTTTCTCTCTTAATGAAGTAAAATACAGTATTGGTTCATGGATACTCTAATATCTCCTGAGAATGCTTTTCATATCCTGTTCATATTAAGTAACTGGTAAGATCTAGCCTTCAGCTCTAGCGAATGCTAGACCACACTTTGACTTGTGATCTTCCATTCCTGCAAGAATTTCTGCAGCAGATCTGGGATCTCCTAACCTGCCTTCCACAAATTGGATGGTTTGGCAGCCCAAAGGTGTCTGGATCTCAGTAAGCCACTTGAAAGCTCTAGCAACACTTTAGGTTATCCTCAGGTTGATTTTATGGGGAGTCAATCATTCCCTGTGAGTTTCAACATCATTGTACTTGCCCTATGTGTTGGTTTTCTTTTTATTATGGCCTACAGATCAGCGCAACCTTGTCCTCAGTGCTGAAGCCTCTTGTTTTCAATGTTTCTCCTGTAGCTGCAGTTCTTATTGTGCCATAAGTTCTTGCAATTGCTCACAGGTTCTTCTTGAAGCTTCTATTGGGATTTCTGCTGCCGCCTTTGTAACTGTCTATTGTAGATTTGCTGCAACTGTTGCTGGTGGTGTGCTGCTAGCTCCCTGGTTCTTTCGAAGGAACTCTGAATCTATGTCTCCTACTGGCAACAACCTTGCTGCACACGTTTCTCCATCTTAGGTGGACTGGCTTTGCCTATGGTCATCGCAGGAGGACTGCTGGTATCACTCCACTGAACAACTCTTGATCACCATTTCAGCACGAAGCAGATGTAATAGCAATTCTACCCAGGTAACAACAACAACAAAGCCCTTTTTCCTCAAGTAAACAAGAAGTTTTTTAAGTTATTATAGAAGAATCAGGACATGCACAAAGGCAACACCACTCTTCTAAAATCCACAAATACTTGAAAAATTGTATGCAAGATCTCCTACTCCTTCTAGCCTGGACCTTAATTCACTAAGGCAGGAATTAACCTCCTGGGCTTACTGTAAGCATGTGTGTATCATTTTATTACGGAACACAAACAGTCGATTTGCTAGATTCAAAAAAAGACACATGAACGCTATTTGAAGGAGCTAACAAAATTAGTTCTTGTGAGTCATCACTGCATTGCTGGTAAAGTGAAAGCATTCAGAACAGGAAGAATAGATTAATTAGCTATAAACTTGAACCCTGCAAAGCTCACATAGATAGAATGAAACCAGGAGCCAGCAGGCATATAATGATTTTTATTTTATTTTCTAGCAAGTATTGATAGGTGGTTTACAAGGGTAACAGCCCTGAAGAGCAAAGCATTGACATCTACAGGATTATAACAAGGGTCAGAGATCATAACTGTCATGGATCTTTGGCCCACAGTAGAATTAATTCTGCTTCCAATTAAGTTTTCACACCAGAAACTGATAAAACCTTTTTCTTTTTTTTTTTTTTTTTAAACATAGATTTTACAAATCTTCAGAAATAGCTGGAGATCTGGAGCCATCGAACTGATATTCCTTTCTGAAGCAAGAATGATCATATCATATCATATCATATCATATCATATCATATCATATCGATCAAATCAGAAATGTAGTTGGTTTTCAGCAATTCAAAATAGGTTATAGTGCATGTGATGGGATCTTGAGCTACTATTAAGTAAACAGTTTGGTCTGCAGATGGGCTAGTGTTCAGACTGCAAAGAACTGGGGCAAGTGCTGTTCAATTCAAATCTTTGATTGATTAGGGTAAAGGCTGGAGTTAATGAATGTGGTTTATGGTTAATATTTTCTGAATTGACTTCTATAATATAAAGTTGCTGTCATGAGTAACAGCATAAATAACTACATTTGTCCCCTTCCCTCCAGAAATGAGTAGAGTAGCTGCCATTATGTAGTTTAATACTCCTGACACAGAGTAACATGTGGAAAGTCTGAGGAAGTGTCCTTAGAAAGAGAAATAAAAGAATATTACAGTCAGTGCAGCAACAGCAACCACTGAGAGTGGAGACATTACCAACCTCAGTCAAAGGAATAGAAAAATTTTTTAAAAGGTGACAAGAACAAAAAATAGGTGAATGCTTTGAACTGGTGAACACTTTGAACCTAAAGGAACTGAATATGTACAGACCTACTACTCAAAAGTATCTCTTTCTTTTGGGAAACCAGAGAGTTTCCTAAACCATCTGTCCCAAAGATCACAAACAAATCTTACTCATGGAAGCTACATAGTACTGCCTGCAATTTTACAGCAAATACACATTGAGGCTCATGTGTTGGAAGACAAACTAACTTCCATTGCTGACTGCTCAGATATCCTCTATTAAGGTCTATCACTTTGGCAGATCTATCACTTTGTAGGCTTGTAACTAAAATTCAGGTGAGAGGTGAGATTAGGATTACAGGTTAGGGCAGCACTAGTCAGAACTCAAGAGCAAGGAAGTGAGCTGGTGCTGGTAGGACCAAAATGACTGCAGATTCCCATGCCTGTGCTTGGTTGCACAGAGATTTCAGGTTATGTCAGGACCCCTCAACACCTGCAGGGTTAAAGTGAGGACTGAATCCAATATGGGCAACTGACTTATCAAAAACTATAGGGAAAAACTGGTCACTTACTGTTATTAAATATAACACTGGGCATGATATTATGATTAAAGTCATCTTATAAATGATGATGGAAAGCAGATTTATTATTAGATTCTATGAAAATTGCAGAGCAAATATGTTGGACACCAGCAAGGGTGAACTGACTAAATTCTGCAGTTGATATAAACCAAACTGGTTAAAAATTATGGTTAGTTTTGAAATGAGATTATTGTTATAAAAATAGGGACTGAATATGCTAATTAATTGCTATGTTTTATGGTGTCCTCAGAGCTAGGAGAAAAGTTAGAGCCAGTGACGCAGTTTGTAATTGATTTTGAGGAAACTGAAGGCAAACGGTCTCTAAATAGGCTTAAAATGTAGCACCAAACTACAATCATAACTGCACATTTTTGACACATCTGGACTGCAGTTATTTTAACTTTCTGAATGCCCTATGCTGAATTATTTGCTCTTGGACATAACATTCCTGAAGAGTGGCCATACCTATTGAAACCAAGATTCCATTGTACTGTGTTTGTGTATGGCAGAGGTTTGGTAGCAGAGGAGGGGCCTACAGAGGTGACTCCTGCAAGAAATTTCTCAAAGGTCCCCCAGCTCCAAGTCAGACCTACTTCATTAGCAATGATGGCTGCACCTCTGTGATAACGTGTTTAAGAAGGGGAACCTGAGAGGAGGAGGAGTTGTGAGGGAAATACCTATGCAAACACCGAGGTCAATGGAAGAAAGAAGGAGGAGGGAGAGGTGTGCTGGAGCAGAGACTCCCCTGCAGCCCATGGTGAGAGGGCAGGCTGTGCCCCTGCAGCCCATGGAGGACCCCATGCCAGAGCAGGTGGCTGTGCCCGAAGAAGGCCGGGACTCTGAAGGAAGTCCACACTGGGGAAGCTCATGAAAAGCTTCAGTCTGTGGGAAGGAGGTAATGAGCTCAAGTTGCACCAGGGAAGGTTTAGACTGGATATTCAAAGCATTTTGTTACAGAATGGGTTGTTGGGTGTTGGAATGGGCTGCCCAGGGGGGTGGGAGTCCCCATCCCTGGAGGTGTTTAAGAGTTGGGTTGACATAGCGCTGAGGGATCTGGTGTAGTTGGTAACTGTCAGTGTTAGGTTAATGGCTGGACTGGATCATCTTCAAGGTCTTTTCCAACCTTGATGATTCTGTGATTCTGTGACTCATGTCAGAGAAAGTTCATGTCTCCTGTGAAAGGGACCCCACACAGGGGAAGAGTGTGAGGAGTCCTCCCCCTGAGGAGAAAGGAGTGGCAGAAACAATGGGTGATGAACTGACTGTAACCCCCATCCTCTGCACTGTTGTGGGGAGGAGGTGCAGAAACTGGGAACAAAGCTGAGCCCTAGAAGAAGGAAGAGGTGGAGGGAAGGCATTTTTTAAGATGTGGTTCTATTTCTCACTGTCCTACCCTGTTTGACTAGAAAATTAAATGGTAGTGGTGGTGTTTGAATTAAATTGATATTTTTCTTCCCCTAACAAGTCTGTCTTTTGCCTGTGACCATAATGGGGTGATTCATCCCTCCCCTCCTTATCTCGACCACTGAGTCATTTATTTTCTTGTTCCCATTCCGGAGGGGGAAGTTGTTAGTGAGCAGCTGGGTAGTGCTCAGTTTCCCTCTGGGCTCAAACCACGACACCATGTAGACCAGTATCTAGACTCTGACAAGAGGACACATCGGAAATAGCATAGAAGTGCATGCATTTAATGTTACATCTATCAGAAAAGGTTACTCTTGGAATCCCTAGGAGTTCGCACACAAATTTCAGAGGACAGAAGTATCAGGTTTTTAAAATTTAGTAGCCTTTTATTTTTGTGTTTTCTTCCATACATTTTTCCAGTTCCCTCTGAATATATTTAAACGCTCACCATTTGAGGCATCCTCTGTCAAGAGTGTTTTGCAGATAAACCCCACGTGTTAAGAACCACTTCGTATCATGCATTTTGAATGTAAGGCCTCCAAACCGTGCATTGGAAGGCACAATCAGTCCCTGTTTACTACTCTACCCATGACACTCTTGATTTCATAGACCTCTACTATGTATGCCTTCACTCATATAATGTCCATGTTAAAAGCCCCAATCCACTTAGGTGTTCCCTCTCTAGAAGCTATTTCACATACCTGATCACCTTTGTTAAACTTTTCAGAACGTCCTCCAGTACTAGTATATATCTCTGCAGTGGGGAGAGAGGAGGGACACAGCTGTAGACAGATCACCCCGTTCCATGAAGAGGGAAGGACTGGTTTCCACTGTGTTCTCTGTTCTTTTTAAAATAGTTCTTAATATGGACTTGAAGCACCAGAATGACATCTTTAACAGAACTATCTATTCTAATTCCAAGACTTCATTCCAGAAGAATAGTAATCAGCTCAGAGATCAATCTACTTTGTGTGTAAAATTCAGATTATTTTCCTCATATATTTTGCTTAAAATTGGATGTATCTATGCTGAGTTTTATGTGTCATTACATTGATCATTCAGTCTTGTAAGGCTCTTTTCTGATTTTTCATGGTCAGGCTTTCCTGAATAACTTAATATCAATAAACTCTATTACATTTTCCAAGGAATGCCTCATTTATGAATAAGCTGGAAATTATCAATCTTGGTACAGATCCCTGAAGGGCTCTACTGATGATCTTCTTGAAGTTTCTTGATGAAACTTTACTTCTTACTCTGATCTCCATTTTCTGTATTCTAAGCAATTATTTACCTATATAATGACTTTGTTTCTTACTCAGTGGATGCTTTATTTATGTAGGCACCTATTGAGAGATTCTGTTGGCAGTATGAGTCAGATTTCCCTAATTCATGCTGTTTCCTCCAAAAAAGCACAGTAGATTTGTAAAGCATGACTTTCCTTTGCAAAACTAATATTAATAATATTGAAACACAATGATAGGTAGCTAAAACCACCTGAACTACAGGAAAGCTAACAATGATTAAAAAAAAAAAAAAAAATCCATCTGTGGCATGGCAATAAGCGAGGAATTCTAATGCTCTGAAAAAGAAATGAATCATAGCAATGAAACGAGCCTTTTAACTAGACATGAATTGTTAAATTATTAATAGTGAAGAAAAGGAACATTTATT